CGTGCATCTACTGATTATTCTTGAAACCTCAGTTTATATGAATTCTCTATCTTCCGCTGGAATTAGATCTCAACAGTCCAATCTTCAGTGTGTATGTTTTGGAGAGACAGCACATGTCTAAATTAAACGTTTCAAGGGTTCTAGCTAAGGCAACTTGGTGAATGACTGGAGTGTGTCGATATTAAATGCGGATAGGTGAAAAGGGAAATTTTGTTTTCAAAAATCTGATGGCATCCTAGTGGTTGAACGCTGAGTGATACCCCATAGGTGGTGCTAACAGGATGCATCTGCTAAGATTGGGGAGTAAGAAAAGGAAGTGGACAGACGAGAAAGAGGGTTTTCCAAATGGGCACCTCGGAGTTTGAGCCCGATAAACTTCGTGATGGCCCGCACCGATGAAGAGGTTTTCCTTTCGGTACCCTAACCGGAGCCGTTGATTCAAAAGTCTGACCCACAAAACAGTGGAGTGCAGATATAATGCGGGAGCGCGATCGAAGCACCCGAGGGGATATTCTAGAGATCTATCACGTAAAGCCTTCGAATTTCGGTTTAGTGTGCTGATTGCTGGTGCGTTGGTCTACGGTTCCCTATCGGGGATCGGCCCTTAGCTTCAAGCACTATATGAGACAAGCCGAACGTGGACGGGATAGTACCTTATTCGCTACGGGCTGCCCAGCATGAGCGGGTGGTAGCTGTCCAATGAAGTGCAGAGACTTCTCCCTCTGTCAGGAGGAAGCCGCAGGTAATCCGCTTCTACGTCTATCTCGGGGGATTTTCGATCAGTAGACTGCCCCTTCACCGTGTTTATTTGTTGGACTAACCTCTCCAGGGGCGGGTGAGGATAGATGAAGGAAGTCAGGAGGTGCGCAAGCAGCTGACCGTGTCTGGCCTCTACCCATTGACCTTTCAGGCATGACCAGATCTACGGTTATGAAAAGCTATTCTGCGTAGTCCGCAGGGTTATGGAGGCACGCAGGCCATCACACCAGGTCAAGGTGCCGTCTCGTCCCTTCGATGGGTGTTCTGAAAGCCTGAAGCAGGAATGGTTACACTGCGATAAGTTGTCTCAATCAACATGACTATCTTTCAGAACGTGCTAGCAGAAAAGGTAGAACCAACCCAACCTGATACCATCAGTCAGCACTGGTCGCTCACCAACGATGCTCTGCATTACGCTGCCTTACTAAGCTGTGGCCCGCCACGGATAATTAACGATAGCAATGAACGAATCAACTTTTACGTTGGATTTTTTGTAAAACCCGAAGTAAAACAATATGTTCCTCGAAAACAAAGGTCGCCCCAATTCGAACGTTAGGAACAATTGATTAAGAGATACAATTGAGAAGAAACAATTTTCACCTAAGTTTATCGATGTTCAAGTACGATATTGGTGATTGAAATTTTCCAGCATTGCAAACGAAGTTTCGCAATGTCCATCAAAGGTTGTTGTTGTTGTATATATATATATATATATATATATATATATATATATATATATATGATTTAACCTAGTCATACACAGCGAACAGCAATTCTG